GGACAAGATCTCACCAGTGTGTGAGTTCAAGCTTGGTGTCAGGTTCTGAACTGACAGTGAGGAACCTGCTTGGGATTCTCTGTATCTCTCTCTTTCTCTCAAAAATAAATAAACATTAAAAAAGTAAATAAACAAAAGGAAGGGTGCGTGCCTGCATGTCTCAGTCAGTTAAGCATCTGACTCTTGGTTTCAGGTCGGGTCATGATCTCATGGTTCTTGAATTCAAGCCCCATGTTCAGCTCTGCACTGACAGTGAGGAACCTGCTTGGGATTCTCTTTCTCCCTCTCTCTCTGCTCCTATCCCACACCTGTGGAGTAGAGCACTCATTCCCTCTCTCTCAAAATAAACTAAAAAAAAAAAAAAAAAGATTTAGGGGTGCCTGGGTGGCTCAGCGGGTTAAGTGTCTGACTCTTGATTTCAGCTCAGGTCATGATCTCACAATTGGTGAGATTGAGCCCTGCATGGAGCTGACAGTGCAGAGCCTGCTTGGGATTCTCTCTCTCTCTCTCTCTCTCTCTCTCTCTTTCAGTCTGTCCCTTTCCAACTTATGCATGTGCTTTCTGTCTCAAAATAAAAAACATTAAAGAAATCTTTTAAAAAAAGATTATAAATCAATCAATCAATCAATCAATCAATGGAAGATCTTATGCTTTTGTGGCAAGGAAGGACCAATTTGGAAAAAAGCAGGAATTTCTGAGCATGAGTACAATGGAAACCAGTTTATGGTGGGGGGCGGGGGTGGTCCCTGCTTTTCCCTAGAAGAGGTGGGAAATTGTAAGCTTTTTTCTTGTCCCTGATTCCCATAGAGACACCAGTTTCCTCTTCTTCCCTAACAATTGCACTTCTGGTATTTAAATCTTTGCTGAATACTCTATAATTATTTCTTAACATATCTGTTCCCTCCCCCAAGGTTTTGAGCTCTGTGAGACAAAGAGCCACGGTGATTTACTTTTGTAAATCGGTTAAGTTAAAAAAAAAATGATAAGAGATCAAGAAAACCTGGGGAGGGAGCCTACAGTACAGGGTCAGACCACTCCAGCTTTTATCTGTATGTCCCCTTTTCTCTACTACCCTGACAATAGAATCCTTACCGAGTCTAAGGAAGGAGAACCGACCTTCTCAGCATGTGGCATCACCAATCTACTGTTTATGGCATAAATATTGATTTTTGGCACTCAAAACACAGGCTGTTGAGATTCAAAACCCATTCTTTCAACCCACTGTTTCTGCTAGGAGCTTGAACCATTTATTTTGAAATCTTCCACAGATCTCCACCCCAGCTGAGAATGTATTCTCTTACTGTGCTGTGTCCTTCCTTCACTGATTCAGTAAGTCCTGGGTGCCCAAGGAGATGAGGCGAGAGAGGAGCCATGGGGCAAAAGTACTTACAGAGAAAGGAAAACATATCAGTTAATAGTAAAATATTACCCCAGTACAATTATGTCTGTATCAGATCATCGGTCCCAAAGTTTCATGGGTCTGGCTGGTAGGAAATGCCATCTTAACCATATTTTGGAAGCCCTACAATAGATCACGCAGAAGTCCAGGTAGTTTGCGATAGTGATTAATACTATTCACAGATATTCCAGATCTTTCTCCTTCCAGTGCACTGGGCAGGACTTACTTTCTTCCCACTTGAAATTAGTTGTGCCCATTGGGCTTGCATTGGCCAGTGAAGTGTGAGTGAGTATAAGGCATGCCTTCAAGAAAGGACTTCGAAGAGCCACACTGTGATTCACTATGCTTTCTTTTCTTTCAGCCTGGTTACCAGAGTGAGGGGACAGAGTAGAGCTCTCAGCCGACTTTCAATGGTCTCAAAGCACTAGCGAGAGACCAGATCTTTATTTATTTAAACCGCTGTAATTTTGCATTTGTTTGTTAGTATAGCACAAACAACTAACCTCTCATAATTGTTACAAATATGAGAACATAGCTCTCCCATCAAAGAGTAGTAAAGTCCCTTCATTTAAATCAAAACAAAGATATCTACAGAAGAAGTGTGTGTGTGGTTACTGGAATATACACGTAAGTGGAATTAAATAGATAAAAAGCAAATTTTTTGAGGGAGCTGTACTGACAAAGAAGCCATGGGCCTGGATAAAGAAAGTCTGTGGCAGTTTGACATGACTGAGCCAAAGTAGATTGACGCAGTGGCTTATCCCCCAAGGAGAATATGCCCTCCCATGCTTTTCTAAATGAGGCCCAAGAGAGTGACTAAGAGCTAGGAAATAGAACTGGGGCTGAATAATTAAGTGTTCTCCATTTCCTTGACAGAGGACCCTTCCAATCCCTGCCCAGTAGAATCTCTACAGACCAACGTCTCCCATTTTTCCAATTGTAAAATAGAAATGTTATTGCCATTAGCTTGCCTCTATTCTACTGTGAATGCTATATACGTGGGGATACTTTCCAGCGTTAGTTCATACGTCTCTGGATCAAGAGAAGTTCCATCTAGACCTGAAATAGTCATCATTGCATATCACTCCTAGATGTAGAGACTACCGTGCATGACCCAGAGATGTTGGACTTTGAACTTTGATGCCAAGACTAAATGGGACTTTTGGATTGCTTCCTTTGAGTTAAGTCTGAATGTTTTATGCATAAGAGGGGAGTAAACTGAGCATTCCATGACCACAAAGGCAGACTGTTAAAAGCATTAGGATTGTTCACAATATTCTGTTCTCTTTCCTCCAGGGCACATGGTAGGATTGTATTTCTACCTGCACAAAGTTAGGTGTAGCCATAAGACTTACCTTGGCCAGGGGCACCTGGGTGGCTCAGTCGGTTGAGCGTCCAGCTTCGGCTCGGGTCATGATCTCGCAGTTGTTGAGTTCGAGCCCTGTGTTGGGCTCTGTGCTGACAGCTCAGAGCCTGGAGCCTGCTTCAGATTCTGTGTCCTCCTCTCTCTTCGCCCCATCCTTGCTTGTGCTCTCTCTCTCTCTCTCTGCCTTTCAAAAATGAATAAACATTAAAAAAAAATTAAAAAAAAAAAAGACTTACCTTGGCCAGCGAAAAGTGAGCTGAAATGATGTGTGCCACTCCAGGAAGAAGCTCCCTGAGATCCACTGCATCCTTTGCAATGTTTTCAGAGAGGGTTTATTCCCTGTGTGGGCCCCAGGGCGTGGATGCAATGTGGAGCAGAGTCGCTAGTCAACCATGAAGGCTGTGAGCAAGAAATAAACATCTTTCATGTGAGGTCACTGAGATTCAAGAGTTCCTTGTTTCCATAGTACTTTACCTAACCTGCCTCACAGAGCTTCTCATAGGATATTCTGGCAGGGCCCTGTAGTCTTAGCAGATGCTTATTTTCCAAGCCTAAAAGTGGCCCAAAGATCTGTATCTGAACTCTCAAGTTCATATCTCTTATCCTTCAGTCCTAGCCACCTCTTGGCAATTCATGATAAAAAGGTCATAGACATCCATGGTACTACATGAGACACCTTATGAGAAAGTCCTTCTCTAAAATAAACCCTCTCTGGCCTTGGGGAAAATTGTCCTCCCAGACACCTATGTCCTCGTGGGCCCATCTCTGCCTCTCAGGCCTGGAATTTCTAGAATCCCCTGGGTGGGGAGGCTTTTTCCATGCCTCAAAAACTCTATCTTTAGCTCTGCAGCACACAAGCCAATAACAATCTCATCAACAAAGAGTTCTGAACTCAGAAACCAAAACTCAGACTGCCCCTTTTAGCTTATGGTGGGGGTGAGACTATCGCACACACTTTTCAAAGCAATAGGAAGAGGCTATTCTTTTTTTTTTTTTAATGTTTATTTATTTATTTTTTTAATTTTTTTTTAACGTTTATTTATTTTTGAGACAGAGAGAGACAGAGAATGAACAGGGGAGGGGCAGAGAGAGAGGGAGACACAGAATCCGAAACAGGCTCCAGGCTCTGAGCTGTCAGCACAGAGCCCGACGCGGGGCTCGAACTCACAGACCGTGAGATCATGACCTGAGCCGAAGTCGGACGTTCAACCGACCAAGCCACCCAGGCGCCCCAATGTTTATTTATTTTTAAGAGAGAGAGATTGTGAGAGAGACAGCGCAAGTGTGAGTGGGGGAGGGGCAGAGAGAGGGGCAAAGGATCTGAAGCGGGCTCTGCGCTGACAGCTGGGAGCCTGCTGGGGGCTCAATCCCAAGAAATGTGAGGTCGTGACCTGAGCCGAAGTCAGATGCTTAGCTGACTGAACGACCCAGGCGCCCCAGGAAGAGATGATTCTGCTACATGTGTCATTGACAAAACAAAGGATTCAACTCAGGAATTCAGACTCGATGGGAAATGGGACTTGTTCCTCTCTAAGAACTTAATATAAATCCTTTTAATCAAAGGTCATTCTGAGAGTGGACAGAGGAAACAGGGAAAGAACTAGCATTTGGGGGACCCTACTATGTGCCAGGTACTTAACCACATTCAACCCTCTAAGCAGCTATATGAGAGAGGTGCTATTATTTTCTCACAGAAGACACTAAGGTTCAGTGAACTGAAGACACTTGCCTAAGGTCACAGAGGAAGTACGTGGCAGAGCGGGAATTCCAACCAGATGTCTCTAGCTGCAAAGACTTCACAGTTGTACTCTTCCTTCGCTACCCGTTGCTGTAGCCAAATGAAGTTAAAAGACAGAAAATATTTACCATAGTAGGGTAAGAGAAATATGATGCAGAATTAAAGAAATTGTTGTTTTCTTAATATGAGTAAAATTTACATTTCTGAACATTGTAACATCTAATCTATTATAAAATCTCCCCATTGGGGTGCCCAGGTGGCTCAGGTGATTAAGCATCCGACTTTGGCTCAGGTCATGATCTCGCGGTTCGTGAGTTTGAGCCCCACATCAGGCTCTCTGCTGTCAGCACAAAGCCCACTTGGGATCCTCTGTCCCTGTCTTGCTCTGTCCCTCCCATACATGCACTCTCTCTCTCTCCCCAAAATAAATAAATTTTAAAAAATCTCCCCATTAAACTATCGCTTAAATAGTGACTATAATTATATCCTTTATTCAGGAAATCCTGTACTACCGATGTTTTGGATGGAAATACAATCAATATCATTATCTTCAAGACATCAGATATAAAGAACACAGAGGTTCCTTACAGTTGTAGTCTGGGAAATGGATCATGTCCCTTGCGGGCCATTACATTTGTACCTTGCTCCTGTGTCCGTGTAGCTTTCACCTAAAGGAAAACTGAGGAGAACAATTTCACAGGACTTAAAAATTTATAATAGAGCATTTCTTGGCTAAGACAGCGTTTGATGTGTACAGAGCTTAACACAATGCTTGACACTTAATAAAAGTTTAACTAAATTAAGGGAACAACATGGGCTTTTGAGTCATGACTAGGATTCAAAGCTGGGTGGATTCTCCTGTCCCTGATTAGACAGGGGTTAAGTCATTTACCCTTGTCGAGATGGAGCTTCATCATCTATAAAATGGAGGAAATAATACCTATCTTACAGGATTCTTATGAGCATCGTTCCGAAGATTCTTGGGAAAAATTCTACTTCAGAAGCTTAAAGCCCCTGACCCCTGTCATGGATGCATTAGTCTTCTGTCTCTCAAGAAAAAGAAAAGGTGGAAATAAAAGATCGTGTCTATTAGCTCTTCTTAAATTAGTCCAACAAAATTCGAAGTGCTCCTTTCTCAGAAAGATAAATTTCATGCTGTTGGAACAAATGGAACATATAATGCTTGCTAAGTCTCTGGCAGGTGTCTGTCTAAAGCTTGATGTTCAACGTTGGTTCTAAAGAACATGGAAGTACCTTCCCATTGATCCACCTCAATAAGGCCATGGAGTATGGGTTGAATTTCACAACAGTCATTTCTGCCCTAGAAGAAATTAGAAAAAGGGGCATGAGTCCTTTGAAACAAATGTCCACTATGAGGGTGAAACTTCCTATTTCCATCCACCCACTCCACTCTTACCCCATAATAAAAATGGGAGGGTAGCAATCTGCTTAGATATGTGAAAACTAGGGGAAATCTTACATGCAAAAGGCTGAAACCAGTCAGGGTCAGAGCTGCTGCTGTGTAATATTGCTCTGAATAGATTAAAAAAAAAAAAGACAGTAAAAAACAGCCATTACCTATCACCTCAAGTTTTATCTTAAAATGGCCACCTCTTTGCTTATCTTAAAAATCAGTCCAGACTTCCAGTTCCAGACAAGATTGCATAGACCCCTTTCGCCCTGTTCCTCCCCATTAAGCACAACTATAAACCCTGGATATTAGGAAAGAAACAGCAAAATGAGAAGTTGGGAAGATGGTAAGAAGATGAACTCTTTTGAGACCCCAAGACTAAAAGAACAACCTAGCAGCACAGTGTCTTATGTGCTCCCACCTGATAGAAGAAGACAACTCAGACCCAGCCTTTCCCTACTCCTGACCTGGCAACAGAAGGCAGCCCAGGTAGGTTCATTTCTTCCTCAGATTGAATGGGAGTCCACCTGACAACATCATGCAAGACATCACTCACAAGAGGGACCAATAGGGAGCCTCACCAACAATAAGCAATCAGGAGAAGTGCTCTCCATCTAGGTCGTGCCTTAGATGCCCCTACCCCACCGAGAGTTAACTGAGGCAGATGGGTAGAAACAGCAAAAGGGAACTCCACTACAGCAAGAGGCCCCATCCAGAAAGCTTCTTTGTCCCCCCTGGAATTGAAACTCTCTTCCCTCATCCAGAGGGACCTTGCGATTGCACTCTTAGGCATTTATTCTAGAGAAATGTTCACACAACAACCTATACACAAATGTCAATAGTTCTTTTTTTGTTTATTTATTTATTTTGGAGGGGGAGTGTGAGTGGGGGAGGAGCAGAGAGAAGTGAGAGAAATCCTTCACTGCCAGTGTGGAGCTTGCGGGGCTCGAACCCATGAACTGTGAGATCATGACCTGAGCTGAAACCAAGAGTCAGATGCTTAACCAACTGAGCCACCCAGGTGCCCCAATAGTGGTTTTAATTTTTGATAGGCAAAGACTGGAATCAGCCTAGATATCCTTCAACAGGATGGCTAAGTGACTGTGATTCATATACACATGGACTACCACTCAGAAATAGGAAGCAATGAACTGTTGATACATAGCACAATTTGAATGAATGTCCAGAACGACCCTGAGTGAAAAAGGCAATCCTGAAAGGTTATATACCACATGATTTCATTAAGATAATATTTTTGAAACGGGAGAATTTTAAAATGGAGGTCAGATTCGTTGCTGCCAAGGATTTGGGATAGGGAAGGAGCTGAACATGCTATAAAGGAGGACCCAGCGTGTCCTCGTGTTGATGGAGCTGTTTGCTCAGAGTCTTGACTGCAGTGGAGGGTACAAACCTTGGCGTATGGTGAAATTGAATAGGATGAATTGCATGCACACGCTTTGTCACTACCGCTTCAAATCATGGAGACTTATCAAATTGTCCTCCTCCCGGAATGCAACAAAAGCAGACCTCAGAGCCTCGCGCCAACTACAGCCCCATGATTTACACCCTTGCATTGGATTGACTTCCACTGCCTCTCGGGACTCTTGCACAACGAACCAGAGGCAGTACAGGCCTTATAGCTGAACAGGTCATTGTGGACTCCAAGTAGCTCTGGAGGTCACCAAGGAGCTCACAGCCAATAGAAGAAAAAGACCCATATTAGAGTATTAATAGAATACTCTACCTTGTGGTAGAATTAGAGTAACCTGACATAAATCCTACAAAAGAGGTAAATAACCTTTGAGAAGATGTCTACAAGAAAGATTAAGGGAGTGAGCTGTGCTTTCACTCAGATGTGGAATTGAGGCCTAAATGCACCTAAAATTACAGGTTTCACCTTACACAAAGTAAACCTCAGTTTCCACATATGTAAAATGGGGATGATAAGGGAACCCACCTACCTCATGGAGTTCCTGAGAGGATTAAATGAGATTTGGTAGGCAAAGTGGGGAACGCACTATTATGGACTGAATTGTGTCCCGTCAGATTTCATATATTGAAGCCCTGACCCTCAATGTGACTATATGTGGAGACAGGGCCTTTAAATAGGTAACCAAGATTACACGAGGTTATAAGGGTAGGGCCCTAATCGAATAGGACTGGTATCTTTTTTACAAGGGGAAGAGACACCAGGAATGTGCACACGCACACGGTGAAGACCAACTTGAGGGCACAGAGACAATGTGACCGTCTCAAGCCAAGGAGACCTCAGGAGAAACCAAACTGCTAATACCTTGATCTTGAACTTCCAGTCTCCAGAACGGTGAGAAATAAATTTTTGTTGTTTACGCACCCCAAGCTGTGGTGTTTTGTTATGGCGGCCCGTGCCAACACATGCACCATCAGATGCAGAGCTATATGCGCCATGAATATGAGCTGTAATAATGATGTTTATTGCTAGAATTAATGTGGCAAAAGATGTGGTTCCTGCATCCTTAGAGGCCCGAGAGGTCTCTGTTGGTAGGGAGGGGGCTGTGGTCAAAACGGAAGAGCATAAATGAGGAGCAGATGCCAAGAAAAGCCCAAAACAGGGAGAATGAGCAAAGTGAAGCTGGGTGTGGGATTTTCTGACATGCACCCATGCAAAGAGTAGACGACCACAGAGCCACAGCGGGAGCACGGAGGAAAGACAGCCAGCTGGTGAGGCAGCCTCTCGTCAGTGGGGGATTCATCCAGGGAGGGCAGCATTGGGGTGGGGTTCTGGGTCCACAGCCAATCTAGGGCTTCCTATATGACAGCCACGAACAGGAGGACAAAAGTAGACACCTGAGTCAAAATTCCTAGAGAACGCTGAGAATCAATACTTGGAAGAGCAAGTCTAAATGTCAAGTCCAAATTGCTGGGGCAGGGGGAAAACATGAGAGACAGGGACAAGGGTCAACAGCAGGGAGAAATTGGAGAGTGCCGTAGAAAAGTGTGAACAGCCCTGAAATGTTTGCTGTTTGCTTTCATTTGTTCCTGCATGCCGCACCGTGGGTATGACTAGTCGAAAGTTACAAGGTCAGTGGGAGAGGTCCCAAGCCCATGTTTTATAGTAATAAGAGACAGCTAACACTCAAGGCATCACAATAGACCTTGAATTGAGCAAAAGGAATCACAGAAAAAGCCAGAATTCAATAGGCCTTTCAAACAAACCTGAACAAATTGACCCTAAATGATTGTTCATCACCTGGTATCTAGCAGGAACCGATATTAGAGTCAGCGAATAGGCCACCAGCCTCACCAGCACTACCTGGGCATCCCACCAGGTAACCCAGTGACATTTGTTCCCAGGATGTAGACCATTTGGGTAATGAATATGAGACGAGACCTGATTTTTATTAGTGTGGCACATTGTAAGCAATAATTGTGCTTGTAAAATAGCCACGTTTTAAATCCACTCTTGTTTCTGATGCTAATTGTTAAGGCTAACGGCCCCTTTGATGCCTTAAAGAGCGTTGTTTGATCCTTTTAGCTCTGGCTTTGGAATACATCCTGATTCATTTCTTATCACCTCCTTCAATGCTTCTCTAGTCTACGTTACCATCATTTCTTGCCTGGATCATTGCAATACTGCCCCAACTTTCTCTTTTCCTCTGACAGTCTCTTCTGCACAAAGCAGACAAGCAACCCCTTTTAAAATATAAGTCTGATGACATCACTCCTTTGCTCAGAAACTTACAGTCTTCCCATAACACATTAGTCACCTACACAAGTCTGTATCCAATTCTCTGTTGCAGGTTGGATTCCCCATCTGAGACGGAGGCTAGAGGGCAAGGTATTTATTAGGGAGTGTCCTTGGGATCAGCATCTGTGCAGAGGAGGGGAACAAAGCAAGAACAGGCAGAGGAAGAAATTGAAATTTGACATAGGCTCAACAAGAGTCTTGGCCAATGGCATGTAGAGTTCTAGAGGTGGAATGGTGTTTTAGAGTTGTCCTAAGTTAGGTCAACATGCTGGGCCTTTAGATTCCCTCATTGATCAGTCATTGGATGCTGGCAGCCCTAGGAAGGGGCATGACCTTGGTGGAGGTGGCTCTCAGCAGCTGAGGAAGGTCTGTCCACAGTACTCTCAAAGCTGGGACAACAAGTCCATTAAAGGGGGATCTGGTCAGCACATCACAGTGTCTGACACTCTCCAGCCTCATCTCCTATCAGTCTTCCCCTGGTTCATTCAGCTCCAGGTAAACTAGCCTCTTTACCATTCCTCAAGCAGGTCAAGTACAACTGTACCTCGGGAACTTTGCTCCTGCTCTCCCTCTCCCTGAAGCACCTGTCCTACGCTTCCTCACTTTAACGCTCTTCTGAAATGTAGCCACCTCAGAGAAAGAACTTCTCTAACAACTCTGTCCAAAATAGCTGATACCTAGAATATATTTCTGCTTCCTTGATGGCTTATTATCTCTCTCACTAGAATATAAGCTCCTTGAGTTGAGGATTTTATCTGTCTCATCTGTCGTTCTATCTCCAGAGCCTAGAGCAACATATGACACACAACAAGTCTTCAGTAAATGATCGTTGAATGACTACAAAAAAGAATGAACTGCCTGACATTGATTCATAACACTGACATCTGTAGGTTTCTCTTCTTATTATTTAAATGCAGATAGTGTCTTCTCTGCTCCGACACAGGCAGTTCTCCGCCCTCCCCCTCCAGCGGGCTCCCAGAGTCCCCTTCCGAAAACATACAGCTTAGTTCCTGGGTCCATTTTCATAACCCACACAATTTCAAAGCTTCCTGTCTCACCACGTCCCCTCCCCCACAGCCTGCAAGGCTACCATTGCCACTCCCGAAATGGCAAATATTGCTACTTCCAATGAATTCTCCACGGTACCTGATCCTTACGATTACTAGCTTCTAATCAGTCTAACTAGGTCACTTGCCAGTCCTCAAGCTACAAGGGAGGCTGAGAAAACAAATATCTCTTGTTTCAGCTTCTATCGTGGGCAAATTTTCAAATCTAGCCTGGGGAGTCAGATGCTGGGCATTAAAAACAGAAACAAACAGATGTTCCCCCACCTAAGAAATAGTAAATCCTGTCACTGCCCCTTAAGAAACTTGAAATTCAGTTGATGACACAGGCCTTCACAGTTTTGTCAATCAGTCAACATTTTTAGCCTCTTCTATGCACACAAGGCATTGTGTTAAGGGCTGTGCATATTCTAAATAAGAAAAACACAGTTCTTGCCTTAAATAACTTTCTCCTAGAAGAGGAAAAATAGTGTCAAGAACAGCAGAATTCAGGGATAGAACTAACTCTTGCCCATTCTTAAATGCAATCAATATTGGATTTTTGTGTATTTTTTTTTTTTTGCTTTTGTTTGAGTAGTAGCTTGTGAGGCAGCCATATTTTGAACAGAATTTGATCTATTGTCGATGTCCAATAAATATTTTTAATAATGAGTGCTCTGGAGGAATAACATCCAAGAATATTCTAGCAGATGGTAAAACATTTTTGCACAGTTAATTTCTGCCAAAACAGCCCTCTATCCTACTTGAGAGCAGTGGAAAATCAAACAGAAAATTAAAGACAGCTAGACAAAGCATGAGAAATGTCTGGCCTGAGCTATGGCAGAGGCTTATTCCTTTGCCACGGTTGGATTACCTGTGTCTTTTCTTTGCTCTCATAAAGAAGGAGAAGGGAAAAAATGCATTGTATTGTCTCTTATTTCAGTTCACAGGACCATTGAGGAAAAAAGTAACAACAATCCTGTGTTTAGAGTAAATCTGTTCCTTGTTGTCAAAGGAATTTCTAACATGGTTAAGCTCCCATCAAGGAGCACTTAGACTCTATATCTTAATCATCCCCGATTTACTAAAAAGACAACTGAGGCACGGAGAGTTTGAATCATTTACTACAGGCCAGAAATTCAAACTGAGTTTTCTGTTAGCCCGGTTCATGCCTTAGATTTGTTCTAGAAAAATAGACCCTGTTCAAACCCTTCTGAAGGATACTGTGGGGTATGAGAAGATGAGAAAGGTTCCTTGCTCTGTAACTCAAACATGAGGGCAGTTGAGAGTCCACAAAGTTGTGCAGTGTTGTTCTAGTTCTATTCAACATGGGGCTGGAAGCTTCTCAGCAAGTTAGTTAGTATGGTGCAGATGAAAATAGAAAGGGCCCAGTGTTCTTCCCAGGTTATGTGTCCACTAAATACAGTAGATTAAGATGATAACATATATATGTGTATTCATGTATGAATATGCATATGTGTGTGCACATGTGCATATATATGTGCATGCATATGCATACACCATGGTGAAAACAATACAGACATGGTAAACCTAATACTGTCTTACGCACCAGGAAACCTGTGTTATTTCAACACTGGAAAAGAAAATGAGCCTTCTCCCATGTTAGTCCCATCATTCCTTTTCTGCTTTGAGTTGGAAGTTTCTGTGTAAAAATGGGATGTAGAGGGGTGCCTGGGTGGCTCAGTTGGTTAAGTGGCCAACTCTTGACTTCAGCTCAGGTCATGAACTCGAGGTTGGGATTCTCTCTCTCCTTCTCTCTGCCCTTCTCCCACTCTCTATCGCTCTCAAAATAAACATTAAAAAAAATAAATACGTAAAAAATAAAAATAAAATAAAAATGGGATGTAGAGTGAGGGACCGACTCTTCCCTGACAGCATCCCAGCAACCCCATGACCTCTGAGCTTAGGACTCCCTCTTCCTTTTCATATAAATCATCAACTGCTTTGTAACTGCCCCCTTCGACTCCCAACTGGGATAACTAGATGGAATAAGATTTATGTTTCTGGGGAGTTTGGGCTCAAAGTCAGCAAACCTATTATCTATGAGCACATTACCTCCTGACTTTTAAATCTAGCGTGTGGACCTCTCTCAGTTTATTCGTCCCAAAGAATGAGAATAATAGCTCATGCTCCATTCACCTGTTTGGACTATTTTATTAGAAAAAAAATATCTGAAATGTAATTTTCATTTTCAACTAAAAACGTATTACTGTTTAATCTAAGTTGCTATAGGGTGGTTGATGTGTTTCGAGACTGTAGATATTTCTGGTGACTAAAGTGCAGTGAAGACTAGGGAATCTTGCTGCCCTATTGGCACAAAGAAGTGAGAGGACACCCACACGGGTATTTCACTTGAGCCCGTGTCTCCAAATGAAGGAGGGACTGATTTCAGCATTAGTTCCTCGGAGGCTCTGTGGCTCAGAATGGTTAAAACTCTCCTATATTACTGTTTCCCAAACTAAATGCTAAGCTCCTTCAAGGCAGAGGCTGTGTGTTATGCTTCTCTTCGCCCCCTGAGAATTTCTTAGCCAATATCAGCTGCCTCAAAAAGAATCAGCACACACGCACACACACACACACACACACACACACACACAGAATTAGCAAAAGCCATTGGAGAGGCAGATGAAAGAGCAGGAAGAACTGTATCTTATGATATATTAGTTCAGGCCTTTAACCCCTCCCCCCAATTCATGTACTTCTATTATGCAAGCCGGGACGATTTTTTGCATTAAGGCATAAATCTATGGTAAGTTAAACCTCTTAAAGTCACTTTCTTTAAAATCACACAGTTTAGGGGAATCTCGCAACATCTGATGTGGTCTTCCTCGGAAGAGAAAGGAAGTTCAACCTAGCAACGTCCGAAAAGAGCATGCTACGAACACTCAAAAGTGGCAAATGACCTAGGGGTGGAGCCATCGATGTGACAGATGTGACTGACTCTAGTCTGTTCGGCGGTGTGTCACAGGATGCTCAGTGTGCCGGGCCTCCCCCACCTTCATTTCTTTCTTTAATCATTTTCATCTCACATTTTGATGATTTTTCTCAGCCCTTTAAAAGTCTCATTGAATCCACTAATGAACAGAGCACTGAAAATGTGCTAATTTGCGAACCTGTGGTCTCATGGCCAAACTGATGCTGCCTTTTCCCAGATGGCAGTCCCAGAATTGAAAGTGACCGCACACCGTGGTCCTCAGAGGACGGAAATGCGTTCATGAGTGAGAAATGAAATTGCAAGTTTATGGAGCGTCGTTTCATATCTAGATGGCCACGTTGTGCCTGGGTCTTTGGTTCAGACAATTAGCTGCATTATTGCTCTGGCAATAAATAAATAAATAAATAAGCCTATTTTGTGAAATTTTTGGTCTTTCATGGCAGGCTTTCCTTTTTCCCTGATGATGAAAAATAGCCAATGCAGAATTCATAGAACTGTCATCAGGACTTTGAGATATAGGATTTGGGAATACTCATTCATTCAATAACTGTGTACTTGGAAAGAGTAATGAAGCCTAAAACCCATTGCTTTGACATTTATTTCAGTTATCTATTGCTGTGTAGCAAACCCACCGCAGAACTTAGTAGTTTAAAAGAACATTTATTTTACGGTCTCACAACTCTGTGGCCTGGGCTGTGCACAGCCGGGGGTTCTTCTGTTACTTCTCCCAGTGGTCACTAGGGTGGCTGAATACAGCAGGCAGATTGGCTTGGGGCCAGGCTCGGCTGGAATTCTGAGATCGCTGGGCTTCTTTCTCTTTCCATGTGGTCTCTCCACATGATCTCTCCAGCAGGATAGTCAGACTTCTCTCATGATAGCCCAGGCACCTGGCAGCACAAAACAGAAGATGCTGAGCCCTCTTAAGGCTTAAGCCCAGAACTGGCATAGCAGAAATCCACTGTATTCTTTTGACGAAAGCAGACACACGTCCAGCCCAGATACAATGTGGGAGAAGACATGAGATATGAATACCAAAAGGTGTGGTTCATTTGGGGCTACCGATGACACAGAATAACACAACAGAAGCACCAGGATCACACACGTGCATGCACACACATGCACGCACACGCACAATGTATAGGTGAATAAGTCACAGGGATAAAGATAAAAGGTACAGTGTAGGAAATGTAGTCAATAGTATTGTAATAGCGTTGCATGGTGACAGAGGGTAGCTACACTGGGGATGAGCACAGCATAACATATAGATTTATTGAATTACTATATTGTACACCTGAAACTAATGTAACATCGTGTGTCAACTATAATTCAATTTATTTATTTAAAAAAATTGTTTTAATGTTTATTTATTTTTTGAAGGAGAGAGAGATACAGCATGAGTGGGGGAGGGGCAGAGAGAGAGGGAGACACAGAATCTGAAGCAGGCTCCAGGCTCTGAGCTGTCAGCACAGAGCCCAATGCGGGGCTCGAACTCACCCACCATGAGATCATGACCCAAGCTGAAGTCAGACGTTTAACTGACTGAGCCACCCAGGTGTCCCAACTATAATTCAATTTAAGGAAAATTTTAAAAAGGGTGAATTTGTGGTAGGTAATTATATTTCAATAAAGCTGTCTCGAAAAATCCCCCTGGGGCGCCTGGGTGGCTCAGTTGGTTAAGCATCTAACTCTCGGTTTCGGCTCAGGTCATGATCTTGCAGCTTCATGGGTTTGAGCCCCGCATCAGGCTCTGTGCTGGCAGTGCAGAGCCTGCTTGGGATTCTCTCCCTCTCTCTCTGCCCCTTCCTTGCTGGTGTTGTCTCTGCCTCTCTCAAAATAAATAAATAAACTTTAAAAAAAAGAAAAATTGCCCCCAAGTGTAAGGTGAGTTGGTCTGTAGACTACTTCAGATGGTTTCCAATGGCCACTGTTTAACGAATATTCCCATCTGTGACCTGCAGAGAGAATTAAGGGTCTGACATTGCCATGTTACATAAGCTTTCTGAGTCTCAGTACATTCATATGAAAAACAGGAATAATGGTGCATATCCACCTACTTCAAAGGATTATTATATTAAGAAAACATCTGTGAAATCGTATTTCAAAGTGTAAGCCACCATATAAATGTAAGTTGCTATTAGAGCAGTCAAAGGATTTCATGACTGTCATTTTGTGTCTTGTTTTGAGTCTTCTGTGATTTTTGAATTATGCTTGTAATTTTGGATGAGAATTCTTACAGCTAACTTTTAGTGAGACCAAAATATTAATTGTTCCATAGCTGTTATTATGTTTAGTTTCTTTCTTCAGCAACCAATTTGGATGATAGCTTTAAAATCACAATAGAATATTTGGTTATTATATTACCCCGGATTGATTTTAGTGCTAAACATTGTGTATCTTGTGATTAAATAATTTTTCATGCCATCTCCCTATTAGTGGAAGATTAAGATAATTTCCCTGCTGAAAGTATTAGGGACATGCTTATTAATTTTTGAGTTACTTATAGAGTATTCTAAAAGATTATTTTGCCACTATTCAAGCCTATCCTGTTTAACAATTGCCATGAAATGTAAAAATGACAGAGTTTTAGTAGGGCCCAAAGTATCTAACCAGATCTTTCTCTGACAACATTTCAGCCCTCAGACTACTAAAAGCAGGAGACAAAGGGAGTGCAGAGGCGAATTTGGGTCCTTCTCCTCTGTAGTGTAGGCAGCATGAAAAATTTGACCTCCATCAGAAAGCTCTGTACCTGGGAGACCAAACAGGAGTAGCAGAAATGATGGCAGCCTCTCTCTGTGTTTCTCCTGGCAACCAGCGGTCTGTGGTTCTTGCTGGAAACATGCTAATGTGGGCCCGTTGAGATCCACTGCTGAGAAAGGCAGGCTGCCCCATTTGATGCCTCCTCCTGCTGTAGGTTTCTCTAGTGGCTCCCAGGGAAACCTTAGATCCCGACAAGCTGTATGGGTTGCTGGTGTCAGTTTTACCAGAGGGGAAACTTTTCAACGTAATGTCCTTCTTGAATTCATATGGAATTATACATGTATTTTAAACAGCAACAGCTGAAGGAGTCAAATTTCCAAAAATTATGAAGACATGGAAACATACTTCTTTGTTTTCTTTCCATCCTTCCTTCCATCCTTCCTTCCCTTCCTTTCTGCCTCTTTCTCATGGCAGATGAAGGGTGGGTAATAAGGAGAGTGGAGGAAAAAAGAAAATGAAAAAATACACATTTATATATTATTGTTTAGAAGTCCTTTACTCCAGGGGCACCTGGGTGGCTCAGTCGGTTAAGTGACGGACTTGGGCTCAGGTCGTTATCCATGGTTGTGAGATCTAGTCCCATGTTTGGCTCTTCGCTGGCAGTGTGGAGCCTGCTTAGGATTCTCTCTCTCTCCCTCTCTCTATCCCCCACCCTTGCTCACACTCTCTCTCAAAATAAAAAATAAACTTAAAAAAGAAAAGAAGTCCTTTACTCCATAAAATCAATATACTGACCTGAGAATTTAAAATATATAAATTAGGGGCGCCTGGGTGGCTCGGTCGGTTAAGCGTCCGACTTCAGCTCAGGTCACGATCTCACGGTCCGTGAGTTCGAGCCCTGCGTCGGGCTCTGGGCTGATGGCTTAGAGCCTGGAGCCTGCTTCCGATTCTGTGTCTCCCTCTCTCTCTGCCCCTCCCCCGTTCATGCTCTGTGTCTCTCTGTCTCAAAAATAAACCTTAAAAAAATTTTTTTAAATAAAATAAAATATATAAATTAAACTTTATTTGCTTATAAAATTATCAACTTTGCTACACTGAATATGAACTATGGTTTATTAATAATAATAATAACAACTTATATGACGAATGCATTTCAGGCTTTTTAATCCTTATAATGAGATGAGGAAAGTAAGAAACAGAGGCTAAGTAACTTTCCCCAGGTCTCAGCTTGTGAGTGGTAGAGACAGAATTCAAACTCCATTAATTCCAAAGCCCATGACAATGAATTTTTGAGGTGACCCCACAGGTCACAAGGAATCCAATCTCATTATTTTCTTTTTAAAAATTGGGCAAACTTTATATTCAGACAATAATCCACTGCATTTAAAATATTCTAAATTTTGTCAAGCACGGAATCTAAGACTGTTAACCATTAAGAAATCTCACGCTTTTGAGAGGTTGCTTTTTAATGCGCAAATTTTTGTGACATGTTTCCTGGAGTCCTGTGGTGCATCCTAAATTTGGCTAGACTGCACACTTTTTGAAAAGGAGAGAAAGAAAACCAGCCGTAATTGCCTAGATGTTGCCATTAGAAACTTAAGTTTATTCAGCCATTCTCAGGGCTCACCGACTTCCATTGCTTTGTCCAAAATCTGCAGATTTACTGAACTGAGGCAAGCTTTTCACCTCTTTGCCATGCTAAATTGTATCTTGATTAAATGGAAAACATGGCCAAGCATGGACAAATTTCTTCCATGTGCGGCAAGAGGCGATCACATCAAAAATGAGTGCTGGAGGTTCCAGTCCAAGTTAGTGACAGAGGAATCTCCTGAGCTCCCTTCTTCCCAGTGACGCACCAAATGTACAGCTGCACATGGGACAATTCCTTGTGAAAGAAATCCGGAAACCAGCTGACTGAATCCTACACATTGGCAAATGAGAAAAGGTTCGCTTTGAAATGGGTAGGAAAAGCTGAGATACACTCTTACCATATACCCCACCCTTGGCATAGTGCCATACAATTGGGAGGGAACTCCCCAGCTCACAGTGTCTCCCTGAGAAGCAAAAGGTGTGAACTCCACATCTAGATCTCCAGCTTTTAGGAATATCACCTAAGGGATTTGTCCCCAAAACACCTATCTCCAAAAACCAATGGAGCTTGTGTCCACAAGACTCATAGCACTATAGAAAACAATGAAAAAGTTCTTAATGGACTCTCGAGGACTCAATGTGGCTATCCCCTTGGGGCTCAGCACAGAGGAAGCAGGCAAAACAGACATCCATATCCAGGAAGCCCACGAAGTACCAAATAAGATGTATCAAAAGAGACTCACACCAAGGGAACACAGTTCAAGAGGTGGAGTAGGAAGCTCCCTGAACTTACCTGCTCCCACAGGCATATCATACTGACAGCTACACATGGAACAACTCCTTCTGAAAACTACCTGAAAACAAGCTGAACAGCTCTTCCACAAGAAAAGATAAAAGGACCACATCGAGATAGGGAGGAGAGGCAGACACGGGCTCACGAAAAACCCCAGCGTGACAACCCACAATTGGGAGGGATCTCATAAATATGGAGCTTCTCCCTAAAGAGCAAGTGTTTCGTGCCTCACATTCAGCACCTCAACCCTTGGGACTTTCACTGGAGAGACAAGCCCCCCATAAGCCTGGCTTATGTCCAGGAGACCCAAAACACTGTAAGGAATGGAGCTTCCTTAAGCTTAATAAGCTTCTTAAAGCTTATTTATTTATTTTGAGACAAAGGGAGGGAGAGAGAGAGAGAGAGCACAGGGGAGGGGCAGAGAGAGGGAGAGAGAGAGAGAATCCCAAGCAAGCTCTGCACTGTCAGGGTAGAGCCCGAGGCGGAGCTGGAACTCGAGACCATGAGGTCATGACCTGAAATGAAACCAAGAGTTGGACACTCAACCGACTGAGCCACCCAGGGGCCCTGGTACCATACTGTTTTGATGACTACTGCTTTATAATATTACTTGAAGTCTGGAATTGTGATACCTCCAGTTTGGTTCTTTCTCAAGATTGCTTTGGCTATTCAGGATCTTTTGTGGTCCCATGCACATTTTAGGATTGTTTGTTCTATTTCTGTGAAAAAATCAAAACTGGAATTTTGATAGAGATTGCACTGGATCTGTAGATGGCTTTAGGTAATATGGACATTCTAACAATATTCATTTTTCCAATTCATGAGCATGGAATAGTTTTCCATTTATCTGTGTCTTCTTCAGTTTCTTTCGTCAATGTCATATAGTTTGCAGAGTGCAGGTCTTTCACCTCCTTGGTTAAATTTATTCCTACATATTTAATCCTTTTCTAAAAATGTTTATTTATTTTTGAGGGAGAGAGAGAGAGAAAGAAAGAGAGAGAGAATGATCGGGGGAGGGACAGAGAGAGATACAGAGACAAAAAATCTGAAACAGACTCTACACTGTCAGCACAGAGCCCAACTTGGGGCTTGAACTTGGGAACCATGAGATCATGACCTGAGCTAAAGTTGGACTCATAACCAACTGAGCCACCCAGGCGCCCCAGTATTTTATCCTTATTGACACAATTGTAAATGAGATTGTTTTCCTAATTTCTCTTTCTGATGATCTAAGCAGACTAATTTATTCTG